CTGGAATCAACAATGCCACCGGAAGCTGGTCGGGCTCCGGCACGCGATGTATACTGGACATCCAGAAGATACTGCGATGTTTCTTTCCACGCATCAAGGTAGGTTGAAGTGGCCCGCTTCCGAAATGTGTCTACGCGCGCGATGCTGTCTGGTGTGCCCAAATGGCGTGCCAACTCAGGGCTTTGTCGGATAGCGCGATCGACAATGCAGAAGACATTGGATAGGAAGACGCCCTGCACGGCTTTCGAACGATGGAATGCCCGACCTCGAGCCTCGAGAGAACTCATCAGAGCTTCGATCATATCCAGAATGAAGTGTGATAACAAGGTCGAGCTGTCTGGACTGACATCTAAAGGAGCGGTGCCTGACGCATTGGCCGTGGAGCGCCAGTTGCCGTCTCCTAGGGAAGTCAAGATGGATGCTAATGGCCCGGAATAACCAGTCAAAGTAGTGAGCGAGCTCATGACTTCGTTCACAAGAGGGACCGATCCGCCATCAGGAGGAAGAACAGGGATGTTTGCGGCTTTCCGTTTCGTTTCTTCAAGTAGCTCCGAGAGAGATGACTTTGCCGTCTCACGAACCGGCCGAAGAGCTTCTATGAACAAGCTCTTGAGCTCGCCTGTCCTCGAGTCGACGCGATACGACATGGCCGTTACAATTTCAATGATCTCGAACGCTAAGAAGCAGTCCGTCATCAGATTGGCCTTGATATACTCGTTGAGCTCACGCAAGGTTTTTGAGTATTCGGCAAGCGTAGATCGAAACGTCGTCTGCAAAGCCAGGCCTCGCTGGTCGCCTATGAAGATCTGCGCAATCATCTCGTATTCGGTAGATATGAAGTTTTCTAGCGCATTAGAGTAGATCCCTATGCCGTTGGTGCCCTGCTTGTAGGGACCGTCGGCAGCTCTTCGTTTGACAGTATTCAACGAAGCTATGGCAAGATTTTGTAGGCTTGATGTCAGGTAAGCCCCACGCACATCGGCGTATATTTTGAGTGCAGGGTCTCCTCCATCACCGCGTTGTGATCCGTGGGTTGCTGCTGAGTTGATTGCCGCGCATATCGATGTTAACTCCGAGATCGTCTCTTCGGGTATTGATGGGAACGGGAGGTCTGCGCGTGTCCGTAGGAGTCAGTGCAATCGGTCTAAGACTTGATCGACTGCAAAGCAATCTCGTACCTTTCGTTATATAGTGTAATGGCTCAATCGGACTAGCATACTGATTCAAGATCCCACGAAGCATGTCCTGAAGCTTCGCGTTCCCTGTACTAAGGAGGGAGTTGAATTCGGAAATTGCTTTCTGATTAGATTTGAGATTTGTGGAATTCAGATCGACCAGAGCCTTGTCCACACGTTTCATCGCCGCCAGATACTGAGACAATTCTACACTCTGGGGTCTTTTTTTCCAAATCAGTCAGCATGCAGTGAAACTTGTGGCCGAAAGGGAAGAAAGGCCATCGCTTACCCAGCGCGGATGATACCCTCCTCACGATTCTTCGCATCGAGTGGCTGACGAAGGCGCTCAATGGCTTCATTGACCTTGTCGATGTTGCTGTTGGTTATCTGGAGAGATTGTGTATTGCTGTAGATAGGACCTATCGCATGCTTTACAACATTACCACCGGTCTCAAGGCGGACCAGGGAGCCCTGAATCTTCTTGGTGAGGAGCTTGAGCTTCTCGAGGTTGGCGTACAGCACCTCAACCTCTGCGCTCTCCTCTGCATAAGCATTATTCCTTGAAGCGACCATGGCTGCTCAACCGGAAGGGTCCACAATGGACCCCAAAATTAAGGATTCGAAACCAAAGTCTGTGTTTGCGGAGTCGTGCTGATGATAAGAGCTATCATTATCTTCGAATAAGAGGTTAAGTTAATGGAAACAGAAGAATATGTATTAGATGAACAGCTGGCCGATGAGGCTCCTGGCCTCAAGGGACAAGCATGATCGATTGGATGGAGCTTTGGTCTTCTTCTCCCCAGACCCAAGTCACCCAAGTCACCCAACACTAACAAGTAGTAATAGACTAACAGCAGCGGATGATTGCATCTTCCCTTCTCCGCAATATGCGCTAAGCCTAAATAGGAGCTGCGGCCCGTCTGCGATTCCGCAGCTCTTCACGTGATATGTCGTCATACAGCTACTCCCTCGATTCCCGATCGTGCGAGAAAAGGCCGGAAAGGCAAAGCAGATACGGATACCTACGATCTAATTTAAAGGATCGCCATGGTCTGGCCGTCTACAACTGGTCTGCCAGTGTCGCAGTAAATGGCGGATGCATTTGTCTTCTTCCCTTGCCTCCTCACGTGTTGCCCGCCTCACAATGGGTGTAGCAGGAGTCTCTCGTCTGCGCTGGACGGTCCCTCCTGCTGCGCTGGGCTTTCTGGGTAGTGGGGTACTTTATAATACAGGTGACCGCAATAATCAATTGTTGCAGTCGGACTCGAAGGCATACTTTTCGGTCTCCTCTGTGCTCAATGCCCACGAACGGTCAAAAAGGAAGTCTGCAGGGAGCTCAGGTGGTGGCGACGAGGACGTTACTCAATATGTAGAGACGGGGCTTTGGGCCAACATCGTGCACAAATTCGACGGTGTGAAGCAGACTGTTGGCAATGCCGAATGGATCGAACTTGACAGTCTCAAGAAATCAATTATTCCCGACTGGACCTCATTGCTTCCTGTGACGGTGCAGAAACTCCAACGCGAGCTCTCCATGGCTCCTGGCTCTCTTGCGGAAGAAATTTGGAAAGAAGCTCACGATCCAGACGTGCACCCAGAGATTCTTCAAGAAGCCAGAGTCCGCATCGGAAATACCTTGTGTGATGAAGAATTGGCGTTCCGGCGCAAACGCCGAGAGCACGCTGTAAAGGCGTTGGCTTCATACTTGAATATTCCCGAGCAAGATATTCATCCGGATGACGTTCCTACCATTGCTATGTGCGGTTCGGGAGGTGGTCTGCGCGCCCTCGTGGCCGGTACTGGCTCGTATCTTGCTGCTCAGGAAGTGGGATTGTGGGACTGTGTCACCTACACCGCTGGCGTCAGTGGCAGCTGTTGGCTGCAGACTTTATACCATTCATCGATCACTGGTCGGAATTACAATCGGTTAGTTGATCATCTTAAAAACAGACTGGGGGTGCACATAGCGTTCCCACCAAAGGCTCTCAATCTGCTCACAACTGCACCTACCAACAAGTATCTTCTCAGCGGACTGGTCGAGAAATTGAAAGGCGACCCCGGCGCGGATTTTGGCTTGGTCGATATTTATGGCATGCTCCTAGCCGCGAGACTTTTGGTCCCAAAAGGAGAACTTGGAGTCTCACACCAAGATTTGAAATTGTCTAACCAGAGGTACAATCTTTACAATGGAGCCCACCCCATGCCTATATACACAGCTGTCCGTCACGAGATCCCGGTGCTAGAGGCCTTGGAAGATGAAGAACCGAAGAAGAAACCAACACCCGAGAAGCTTATTAAGGCGTCACAGAGCGAAGCATGGTTTCAATGGTTCGAGTTCACCCCCTTTGAATTCTTCTGCGAGGAGCTCAGTGCAGGTATTCCCACCTGGGCTTTGGGAAGGCATTTCAATGGTGGTCACAACGTGATACCCCATGGAGAATACCCATTGCCTGAGATGCGTGTTCCGGGATTGATGGGCGTGTGGGGTAGTGCTTTCTGTGCGACGCTATCCCATTACTATAAGGAGGTTCGACCTCTGCTGCAAGGCATAGTAGGCTTCGGTGGCATAGACTCTCTAATCCAAGGAAAGACAAAAGACCTGATCCGTGTCCATCCGATCGACCCTGCGACCATCCCGAATTATGTACTAGGCATGAAAGATCAGTTACCGCCTTCTTGCCCGGAATCGATCTTCCAGAGCGAGCATCTCCGGCTCATGGACGCGGGAATGAGCAACAACTTGCCCATTTATCCTCTTTTAAGGCCGGGCAGAGAAGTCGATATAATTGTCGCCTTTGACGCTTCGGCTGACATCAAGCAAGAGAATTGGCTTTCTGTCGTGGATGGATACGCCCGTCAACGAGGCATCAAGGGATGGCCACTTGGAGCGGGCTGGCCCAAAGAAGATACCGGGCTGAAGGAGACAGAAGAGAAATTGCGAGAGCCGCAGAATATCACGCAAGATGCGGTAGACGAGAAGATTTCTGACGCTCGACGAAACGACCCCCAGGGCCATGGAGACGGAGTGGGCAAATTGGAACCCACGGAGTCTCACAAAGGGTCCAAAGCCGCCGGCGACCGACCATCGCTCCAGGATACTGATCTAGGCTACTGCAACGTGTGGGTCGGCACAAAGCAAGAAAGGGTGTCTGACAAGGAACCCCCACCGTCGAAACGTTTATTCCATCCTCATCACGGAGACCATTCGGAATCGGACTTCCATCTCATGCATCCTGATGCAGGCATCGCAGTCGTCTACTTCCCCCTGCTGCCCAACCCCTCGGCCCCGGAGCTGCCTCCGAGCTCCTCGATGACCAAACAACCGGTCCCCGCGCAGCAGTCGGAGACGACATCTTCTGCAGATGTCACGGACCCGGCACGCCCTCTGACGCCGTACCCCAGTATGATTGACCCAGAAGTGGACGATTTCCTGTCCACTTGGAACTTTGTCTATACCCCTGAACAGATCGACTCGGTGATTGGACTTGCCAAAGCCAACTTCGCGCAAGGCGAAGAACAAATGAAGCGTGTCGTGCGAGGAGTTTACGAGCGCAAGAAATCCGACCGACTTCGACGGGAGCAACAGGTGCATAGGCGACGAATGGAAGGGTTTGTGCCCATCTAACCTGGATGTGTTGGTACTTGGCATTGATATATTTGAGTGTTGGAGGTAATGATTGTAAGAATAATTTAGACTACGATGTGGAGTAATATTAGGATGAAGGTGAAGTCACTGCATCTAAAGGTTACATGTTTCTTCGATTATACTGTCACAATATACACACATACGAACATACAGAGGAAATGATGAACAAGCCTTGCTATCTATTGCGGACTTCTCGTAGAGTCAGCCTCGCCGGAATGGTGCTCCGAATTATCACCATTGTTCCCAAAATAGGGCCGGACGCCTTTGAAATCATCCCCATTCTCATCTTCCTTGGCCGACTGTTCCCGATCCATCCCGGCCGCACCGATCTTCGATTGTCCTGATTCCACATCGCTCTCCGCAAGACTGACATCTTTACTCTCATCCGTCTGCTTCCGCAGCCCCAGCTCCTTGCTAAGCCCGTGAATCGAGTGTGCAGTCGCCGATACCGCAGTAGCAGCCGCCGTACTAACGCTCGTGAGCAACGGATGGTCTGTCGCGGTCGTAAGACCCTTGGTTCCGGTGTGATGATTCTCGAGCTCGGCGATTCGCGTGGGAATGTGCTCCTGCTCGTGCTCGTGCTCGTCGGCTGCGCCTGTTTCCTGGCCACGCCAGTCGGCCGGGTGGCTTTCGCGGATCGGCTCGCCTGGTTTCGGCTCGGTGATGGCTTGCGCCATGATGGCGGTGTCGTCCTTTCCGGGCTCGCGGATACCGAAGCGGGAAGGTGGTGCGTACCGCCAGACGACCTTGAGGCGGTCGAGCGCTTTGACGCCCCGTTTTGTGGAACCCTTGATCCCGTCCAGGGACTCCCAGTCTGCCTCGAAGACGCCCGAGTCGTGTTTGTCGCCGCCTTCGAAGTAGGCGTTGAACCAGACGTGGGCGATGGAGGTCACCATTGCCCAACCGGTGTAGGCGGCTTTGCTGCGCCGTTCGAAGTCGATGTTCACGTCGGAGGAGGGGAGGACGACTGGTGTGCTGGGGCGGAGGATGACGGCCGAGATGCGTCTTTGGGGAGCAGCGCTGAGGCCTTCAGGTCCTGATGCTAGGGGCGCAGTGACTGTGGAGTCAGGGGAGGAAGTGGAAGCGATGGTGCTTGACCATGTAGAAGTCTGGGAAGCGGGTAAGGGCGAGTCGGCGGTCGTATCTGGTTTGCTGGTGCTGCTCTCGCTGCCATTTTGAGTGTTCTTCGCCGGATATGTGGTCTTGCCATCGTCAACGACCGTTCGTTCGCTGCGATGGAACAAGTGGAAACACTTGATCTTCTTGCCCTCGTCGACAAACCCCCCAATGGCAACTTTGACGCCATCTCTCAGGCCCCAGACATGCAGCTCGAGGATCTCAACCGGCCGCTCAATATACTTCTTGCCCATCTGATTCGCCCACCGGTCGACGTATCCCACCCAGCGCAGTTGGCTGGGGATACTCACACCATGCCCGAATCCAACTCTCATCCGCCTCTGGGTGAACCGCTGAAGGGCATCTTCCATCTTCCATCCCTCTTGGCTGATCAAGTAGCTGCACGCGATGGTCCCACTGCGTCCTTTACCGGCTTTGCAATGCACAACGGCCACTCTCTTCCCTTCCGCAGGCTGTGGCTTCCCCTCGCCATCTGGATCATCTAGTCTCTGCAGCCAATTCCTCATGCTTCCCATGATTGCTGGGATGAGCGCAAACGGCGGCGGATGATGGTCCGGCCATGGGTAATGGTGGATTCGTCCATAGACCTCCGAGTCAGGGTATCCAGTGCCCTCAGCACGAAATTCCCAAATCCACCAGTTCTTGCCATGCTTGGCGTCGAGGAAGTTCACTAAGGCATCTAGAGGATTCCGATATGCACGTTGCGGATAGTTAGAGGATGGCCCTGAGGTCGCAATGACTATGCGCAAAGATAAAGTGTCAGAGGAGCGCACTGAAATAGTAGGAAGAACAATTCGAGACATCACTACTAGGGACGGACAGAAGGCTCACGGTTATCTGTGACGTAGCAGAGATCCAGGCCTGCCTCAGGATGTCTTATTCTGGGTCCAGCAACAATCTGCCGGAGGATCGACGCCTGCATCAATCAAGGAGCCAAGCATAGTTGGTCAGTCTCGGCAAGCAAGTTGCTGGATCTAGGGATGGGTCAAGGGGCAAATCATAGAGACGCACCATTGATATCAAGCGTCGTAAAGCAGCTGTAGATCTTTCGTCAGTGAGTAGACTCATAGATGACCTTTCGAAAAAGTTTATCTTACCATTTGCAAAGACCTCGTTCTCGTTGAGAGTCTCACGGTCCCCCAGGCAAGCGGAGAATGCTGCAGCTGATGCTGATGGAGCACGCGGAATCCAGATCTTCCGTCAGTGGTCAATATGGAATCTGCACTTAATGCGGACTGGTCATCTGATGTTATTAAGTTCTTATTTGGAGCAAAATGTAAAAATCCACACAAGAGAAAAAAAATCTGACAACCTGGGAAGTATCTAGTGATACCTGATACGCAGGCCGCAAGTGCACGAGTTGGGGATGTTCTTGTGGACAGAGCGGGGATGATGTCACAGCCACCAGAGCGGCGGAATCATTGTTTACTGTTTACCTAGTCCTACAGTGGTCCATGGGGTGGGAATGAGCAGTATCAATGAAGGGTCCTTTTACTTTATCTTTTTCTTTTCTTGTGCTAGTCTTTTAGGTACAAGAGAACAGAATGAAGCTGGGCTTGATCCAGGGATCTCATCACAAAAAAGCAGATGCTGGTTATGGGGAATATTCCGATGACAATGGGTTCATTATCAAGTCCGCATTAGAAGATACAGACCAGTCTTCATATCAATGGTACAGATAACCAGTTTGTACATCGTTCCTTGACCCTCACCTCGCCAGGGCCAGGGCCATACTCGCGGATCAACGCGATGAACTCCTTCCATCAAGGAACTGATTCTCAGATCAAGCCATCTCGAGATCAATAAGCGCAGCGCCGTCGTCGGCTCAAGCAGCACCATATGTATCTGTCACAGGAATTGTAAAGTTCCTCATGGAAGATGTGACATTGACCGAACCCTCGGCGTAGAACTCGGCTCCAGGTTTGAACCAAGCGTGCATGACCTCCACCTTCCATGCGGGATACGTCAAGGCTGTCACTTTAGCTTTGATGTGTTTGTCTCTGCAAAAGGTGTAGTCCGTCTCCACGTCGGTGCCGTTGCACGTAGTGTTGAACCCGGGGGTGTTTGGGGTGGCGATACCGAGAATATCGAATTGATAGACACAGCCCCCAGGAGAGCAGCCGGTGTCAAAATTTGAGACATACCAGGTCAGGGCAGGGTTCATGGTGTGATAGGCAGGAGCCGCAAAGGTTATGTCCAAGATCGACAGTAGAGTGACGAGCAGGAATGTAGCAAAGTGCATGTTGACGTTGATGATCGTGGTATGAAGTTTAAGATAGATAGAGGTGCCTGAGGAATGTATATGCGCAGGAGGTATAGTATATACACCGCAAGACAGATATTAAGTATTAGATTAAGTCAATAAAAAGCAGATAACTCATCGAGGACTTTGTTATGAAGAACGAAACACGAAAAGAAGACGAAGAAGGGTGCTGAAAGAGAAGAGGCCATTATCAAGAATGTCTGCTACTCATATATAGCAAAACAAGTTCTACGGCAAGCATGGGAGAGACCTGCTTCTCGCCTGCTGCCGGGGTGGAGCAGACTTTCCAGCATCCTCAAGTTGTCAATCAATCAGAAACCAAAACATCATAATGATCGTGCATCCTGGTGGCCTTGTGCCTAGGTTTCCAACCGTCGGATGTCGATCTCCTGCAAATCTGCGAGGTGCGCGAAGCTGTGTGTCTCGGTCTCGTTTCTAATTATAATCAGCAGGAGAGACCGTGTCGTGGGTGTAACCCAACATCAGAGCACAAAGAGACCAATGTCTGCCGTGCGATGAATCAAGTGCAATTTGCAACCCCATTGTCGTCTCCAGATCTGATCATCAAACGACGGACTGACTTTCCTCTCCGACGATCGCAAACCGAGGATACATGTACTATAGTTCGGCACTGTCACAGTCCAGTGTTTTGAGTCGTTCCTCTGCCCCTTGGAATAGATAGATAGAAAGCTACTCCGTCAAGCATGAACTATGAAGGAGTGGACCAATGAACCATAGTTCAAAACTTCGTCTAAGGTTCCGATCGCAAAGATATCAGTTCTCTGAGCTTTTGTTGTCCTGTGATCCTCCCGAATACAGGTACTATATGCAGTGTAGCATTGGATTGTTCTCTGCATAATTTCACAAGGGATCAGTATCATTATTCAACATAGATATTGCGATCAAACCAGCGACTAGGTTACGTGACTCCTGAATCGTACCCGTATCTATTTTTCTGAGTTCGCTCCTGTTGATCATCGCGAGACTTTCGACTACTAAGAGTTCGAAGTTCGAACCGAAGTTTGACCATCGATTCTTGGCTTCGAAGGGGCGGGTCAATGCACTGGGGGTTTCACTAAATGTTTAGGCCATCTCGTTGATGTTCCATTGTGTCTCACTCAGACTCAAGCCAAGCAGTGCTACTCCAGACAGCCACAGCTAGTCATGGCTAAAATATCTGAGGGGTGGACACCATTAAAGGTAATGGTCATGAGCAAACAACCTCGGGGCTGTCACCGACCTCATTGACAACTCTGCTACTCAAAGAAAATTTCAGTGGTGGTGCCGTGTCTCAATCCCTCGTATTCAACGGGTATACAACTGTACTATACAAGGTATAAATTTTGATACATATACAACTGGACGACAGGGTGCTATTTCCAGCCTCCTCGTCTCCAGATTTAGTCGGTTTCTGTCTCATCAGTCTTCGACTGGTCTTCCGGCACAAGGCCCCCTGGCTCATAGTCCATCCAGCCCTCCTCTTCTTGGGCCCTGGCCATCGCCAAGCGTCTTCGCTTCCTCTTTCGTCGCTCCTTGCTTGCCGCTCGACGGGCTTCCTTCGAGAGAAGCACCCGCCGGGGGGGCTCCCGCGTGCGACGCTCGGAGCGGTCAGCATATCTTGGAGGCGTCTCGGACGCTATCTTTCTGATAGAAACCGACTGGTCTGAAGCTTCTTCATTGCTCTCGATGAGATCGTCGGCTGGGTCATCCTGCATCTGCGGATGGTCTCTCAATCGAATCGCAAATTGATCGCTGGACTCGGAGCATATGGTCTTGATCTCTTGGCGCGTGTACGCATTGGGACGGAATCCCCGCGCCACCAAATCCTGGTAGTACATGTACGCCGATTCAAAGTTGCCAGCATCTAAGCACATCATGATTAAGTGCTCGAAAGTGATGTGATTCGGAATCACTCCAAGCGAGGACATCTCCTTCACCGCAAACATGCCGGCTTGAACGTTCTTTGCTCTGCGAGCCATTCCTATAAGGGTGTTGTAGACCGAAACATCGGCCTTGCCTGGACACAATGTATAGAGCTCCTGGTAGAGCGAGATCCCTTCATCGACCGCAAATGGGTCATTGAAAGATTCGTAGTCACAAAGCTTGATGACCACATGCGCGCATTCCATCGGAATCGGGTATTTCAAGGACTTCAGCTTCTTGAGAATAGTCCATGCCTGCCGTGGACTAGTTCTCGTCTGAACCATGTAGTTGAAAATGGCCCGCGTCGAAGTGTGTTCCAATTTGATACCAGCCTTGTGCATCTTACAGAGAATTTCGAATGCCGACGAGAGCTTGCCAGACTTGACATGCGCCTCCACCGTCTTCTCATAATCCTGCAAGATCAGAGGGACATCACTTTCCGAAAGAAACCGAATTACCAAAGAAGCGAGCTTAGTGTCGCCTTTTTCGGCCGCGACGGTCAGAGTTTCCCTACAGAGGACCTTCGAAGGATGGAGGTACCCCAGTTGTACCATTTGCGTCCATATGTATCGAGCAGTTTCGAGATGAGATGCCGCGACTGCCACATCCAACACATACAGCCACAGTTCCGTCGTCATGTCATGACCCTGACTTGACCGCTTGCGCATCTGCTGGAGAACTTCGTCGAAATCCTGAATGTCGCAGAGATTGTATATCAACAGACTGTGTAGCCAATTCTCGACCATAATCTCCTTTCTCTCCATGTGCGCGATATGGTCTAATGCGAGTTCGAATTGGTTTTCTCTCAAGAGGCCGGCCACCACGTAGTGCCAACCAGCGGGACTTAGGGGCAGCCATCGATCTCGGAGGGTGCGCAATATTTCTTGACGCAGCAAATAGTCCGGGTGCACAGCGAGAACCTATGGGTATCATCCGTGTAAGTCAAGAGATCCTATATTCGCAGAGCTATGGATGGGTTTAGACGCATTGAGACTGCCATACCTGCAATGCAGCATGAAGTGTACCGGAATCTGCAGGTATCCCATTCTTTTCCATCTCCGAGAGCAATTGGCGAACAACTTCCGGCGAGCCACGCTCCGCATCGGAGTTGGCCAGAATCAGCGCTCGGTAGTGTCGTACTTCGGGGCGCACATGGCGATCTCTGACCAAAATTCGTAATATCTGCGATGCGCTGAGGATTTTGGGGCTTCCAGTTGCTAGTTCTTGAAGTCGATTCTCAAGGTCCGGCGTTGACCGCTCTTCGAGATTTTTGGGTACGCCGGGAGACGGAGGTAGGGCAATGCTGGGACTGAGCGGCAGACTGACATGTTGCCGGCGCTCAGAATCCAATTGCGATTGTTGTGGAGTCTGATGTATTTTTGAGGACCCGATGAGGTTATTTTCATGGTTTTCATTGCCTTTTTGCGCCTTTGGCTCCTCATTAGCTCTTGTAGCATCGCTGTTCAGACATCTTCGCGGAGGAGTGACAATCGCCGATGAGCAATCATGTCTTTGTAGCCTTCTCCCTTTCGTGAATGACAGTCTGGTATTATGAAAAGCACTGATTCGAAATGATGGACAGAGACAATACCAGAGTCCATCGAGAATGAGCGTATTTCGGCGCATCTCGAGCCCATGCAAAAAGCGGAGTTGTCTCCTTTGCATCGGGAAGCCGAAGAAGAGAAGCGCGCTCACGTGACTTGTGACGACTCCAGAGAAATCCCAAAATTCTGTCCAGTACAGATGTGGTTGACAGAATTCAAGATATTTCGATAATTCTTTGTCCTTTACGGACAGATTTACTAAACAACAAAGTTCAAGAGCAGTAATCCCATTGAAAAAAAAAAAAAAAAAAAAGAAACCGAGCCAGATACGCCAAGGCCATGCTCGACAAACCCACCAACCGGTCCTTCCTAGCAATTGACATGCTTGATCTCCCCGGGGTATCGATCATTCTCTCTTCGTCTCGTTATGCGCATATCATATCCATATCTAACTGCCGCCACGACCCCGGCCGCGGCCTCGGCCACCACGGCCACCACCACGGCCTCTATCGCCCCTGCCCTCACGGCCACCACGGTTGCGATTCGGCGGCTGGTTCTGCTGCTGTTCCTTGACCATCTCCACGATTTCCTCTGGGATCCGCAAGTATTTGATCTAAATGCTCATTAGCTTAGAACGAGAGCACGTCGAGAGTAGCATGTAGGTAACCCACATTGTTTCCTCGCACGTAGACCTCTGGTAATCTGAAGAAGCGATCGCCTTCTGGGCTAGTCTGAACAACCTCCTTGAGTATTAAGTTCATCCAGTTGTCGCAGTTGGCAAGATGTCCGTTCAGCGTCTCGCCGTTCTTGAGCTCCACTAGCATGGGGTGGCCTTGCGCAGCCGTCAGAAGACCCAATGGTAACTATAAGGCGCGCAATATTTTAGCGACACGAGTTGTAAAATGCATAAAGCAAAGATCATGTCCCGTGGGGAAGTATACTCACCATTGTGATGTTGGATAGATGTGATGAGGAATAGGCTGGCTGGGACTGAGTTGAAGGCGGCACGAAGAGCGCCTTTCCTGGTCAATGAAAAAAAAAAAAAGGGAGATTGGAAAAGACAGTCAATATGCTTGATACAGGATCAGGACTTAGAGCGAAGCTATATGATTATGTCCAAGGATCGAAAGCCAGTCATCAAATAAGCTCCACATGAGCTTCAAAGCGGCGGGTGGTCGCAACTGGAGAGACGGAGAAAGTGAAGTTCCGAGATAAGCGATTAAGCATGCGTGAGATCAGTTGGAGAGATTACCATCGCATTGGTACTATTATCCCTTTCTTGACACCCGTCCATCAGATCCACTGTATCTTCGATGGATCGTTCATTAACAATCAGCAGATACAATTACCATTGACCAGCGCGCTCTGTGCATCGCCGGTGACGGATCCTGGAATCACCTTTAGCCTCCAATCAGCGGCTTTTGGGTGAGCTCATGCAATTGCTACGCTCACATAAATTTGTGCTCCGAGACACCCATCATTATGCGATGGTCATTGATTGCAGTGGTCCTATTCACGGGGCATGTATGCTCTCTAGCTATACCATTCGAAGGTCCCCTTGTTCAGCCATATCAAAGTTAGTAGTTTTTTTTTATTGTCCATTCAGATCCAAAGAAGCCTAAGTAGCCGCATAGACTGTGAGGCATGTACTGCGAAGTTCCAAGCTTCTTGCTCAGACTGCAAAATTGGCATTGGCTTCAACTTCAGCTTGGTAGGAACGTCTTGACAAACCCGTGGACCTCTGGCTGATGAATGCTGTAGCCACTTGAGCTGAGTGTTCATGCCGTGGACGAGCCCTGCAATGGAACGGGTGTTTTCCTCAATGGACTTGAACTGCTTCACAAATGGAATGAGGGCATTGGTCATGGCTCTGGGGCAATACCTCCATTTCCCAAAGCTGTAAATGGAACATTGCTTTTAGCAGATTGGCGGAGTGTTTGCAAATCCGCTGCTGCTGGCTCACCGGAAGTATCACGAACCCAAGACCTGGCTGTGCAGCTCCAGTTTGTTGGCGATGGTGGTGATCAAGTCAATGTCGGCTTTACTGCGTCATTTACACAGGTGAACAGGCCTCGGATCTTCCGAATTTGTCCTCTCCGTCGCGGTATGCCATTGAGCGAATTATTTGAGGATGACCGTGCAGGCGCGGGAACTCTTGAGCTCCTCAGCATTGACAGTGGTACGGATGTCAGAGAGAGCCACGCATCAGGAGTGGATTGGAACGACTGGAGAAAGCTAGGCTGTAGGCTCAAGGACTCCATCTTCGGACTTCTCGGCCTCAATGGTTGTTCCGGAGGTTCATCAAAATCCCTCCCTTCGTCTTCTTTGAATTCCCTGAAGCAGGAATGTTACCAAACAGATGATTCCCCTACGCACTCAGAACCCAACTTAGACTCACTCCCCTCTGGCGAACCAACGCATTCCACAGAAGGTCCACAATTGCTAGAAATTGTGCAGGAGGGACTGGACGGTTTTCTTACAGCTGGGCCTCTCAACGGTATCCGCGAGACAGCCGATGATGAGGACATAGATTTCCCATCCGAACCCGAGCTCAAGGCCTTACTCCAAACCGGCACTGTAGCTATTCTCCTTGGCACCTTGATACTCCTCACTTTCATGGTCTGTCGCAATACCACCTACTGCCGGCGGAAACAGGCCGACAGAGCCGCGCGTCGCGAGGAGAGACGAGCCCGCAGAGCCTACAAGTCCGCAGCCCAGCGCCTCAAATGGAGACAATGGTGGGAAGGCTGGGGATCGGGCCGTCAGACACCCACGCACGTGAATCATGATCTTTCTGTGCTTGCGCAACCAGGGCAGGACCCCGATTGCGGGACAGAAGCCGACCTGGGCCAGGAACCACATGCTATACGTAATGAATTACTGGATTTCCGGCAGACTTTGTTGTACGTTGGACAGCTTGTCCGAAAACCCAAGGAAGATCTGGAAGGTGCTTCTTCGACTCACAGCGATAGAGATCGTGAGATAGCTCAGAGGTATACGAGAAGGAAAAAGCACCCGGCACCACCGTCGACAGCTGGGATTTCGACGGTCATCTCTCTGGATACTAATAGTTTGCTGAGCTTTGACACGACTTCATCAGTGACGCTGGATACATTGGAGACGCTGGAGACCGCTCCGCCGAGCTACCGTCCGTGATTATCAATGTAATACATTTCATACATTTTTGTAGAATTACGAATTTGAAGGCTTCAGTGGGTAAAAAAATACATTAAGGACGTTGTGCGGATTCTCAACACGAACAAACAACGACCAACTGCACCGTCAAGGCATTGTCATACTCCTCTACACTTTTGTTCGCTTGGCCGTATCTTCCTCCTCAGCCTGGTCTTCATCGTCCTCTATCGTGAACTTTCGCTTGACCCGTAGATCTCTGCTCAAGGTACCGCTGGGTGCAGCGCTCGCGTCATCTGAAATTGCAGCAGCTGGTAACTCTTCTTCCCCTCTGGCCTTCAGTTTCTCTTCGCGTTCCGTGAATTCTTTCAAAAGAACTTCATAGCCTTCTTCAACATTTGTAACTGTCTCTTCGAGTTTCTGGATGCGCTCATCGAGATCCAGCTGAATCAGGATGTCCTTGGATCGTTTGTATAGGCGCTGCTTGGTGAGCATGCGCCACCAGTAGTAGCGCCGTTCGTTAGGATCCTCCGCCCTGTACTTCTTAATTAGGAGCCGCGACATGTTTGCTCCGCCGGCATGTCTATTTTTGAGCGGGATTTGACCCAACAGGAACATTTCAAGAATGTGAGCAAACTGAGTAGAATCAATCTTGTATGAGGTACGAATGTCACTGAGGAGTTTGACTGGGATGAGGGCGGCTGTAGGAACAAGTCGTGGTCGTTGGTTCTTGGAGTGCGCTTCGTAAGGGTCGGGGTTGATGTTCACCTTGTGCTTGATGAACTCAGGACGCAGCATGTGGTAGTCCGCAGAGTCGCGGAGAACATCAAAGGCTTCGTTGGGATCTTCGACTGTCAATTCAACAACAGTGGGGTCTTGTACACACGCCGAATGAATGGTAGTATACAAGTGCCTGCCATGTCCTGAATTCTGATGAGGAGGGAGGATAAGGAATTGGGCAATACGCAGCCGCGATGGGAGCTGTGAAGGATGGATTTCCGGTCCAGAGGGAAAGGGATCGTTCTTGACAACAGGTACTTGTGTCTTGTCCCTGCGGTAATGCCACCAGCGATAGGTTGTCGCATATCCGACGATGGAGTATTCAGAAGCTGTGGGTGTTGGAGGTTTCAGTTTCTCGTATCTGTAGGGAACTCATCAGCGGCTGTGACGGGTCTTCACGTCATGGGACAGTATATCCACATACACAAAGTAGACAGTCCATCTTTCCAGCGTCCACTCGGGATCATCCGTGGCAAGAGGGGTGCCTGCCTCGATGAAGAGCGACACAAAGATTTGAGCGCGATCCAACAACCGTCGAACTTTAGGATCAGCCAGCGAGCCGGCCCAGATCTCATAGTTTCTATTCCGAGAAACATAGCTGTATACCAACTTGCCCGGGGGTTTGAAATCTTTCGCTTCTTTATCATCTAGCACGGCTTTTTCATAGTCGGGGAGGGTGACAAAGGCCTCTAGAAATTGATGTCTTAATCAGAGAGAACCGGAGCAATATAAGTAACAGTTCAAGAGTATCACCAACCTTCTGAGATCCATGGGTTCAATGTCTTCAGGAGATCTACTGCGGCAGTGTCCCCAACTGGCTTGAATTTCTCATCGTACGAGATGTGAAGGTGCGGGCGGAGGTCATGCGCCGCGAACCGTAGACGGATAATCAAGCCCTTGTAACCGAAGATGCGCTCATCATCGCCGAAGATGGGGTATGTGAATTGAGGATGGAAGCTAGAGACGGTCTTCAGTTTCTGCTCGTCAGGTTGGACTATGGTGACGTTGACGGCGTCGTTGGCATCGCAGGTCCCTGGAAGAATCCATTTCATGATCAGCTTGATTCAGGACACTCAAAAGAGTTGACGTGGGATGGGGTGGGAAAATACAGTCGCCTTCGTTTTCCATATTGAGACGCTATGGACGGATGACAGGGAGTGTGACGGCAACAGTGAGTAAGAACAAAGCTGAAGATAATCAATCTATCGTCGTTCTCCTCGGCGCGTGTTGGGATAATCGCGTTGCGCGGAGAGCTTAACAGGTATAACCTTTCTAGGATTAGCGCCATTGAGAGCTCTTGCTTGGTGTTACCCGTCCATCTATGAAGCTGAGAGCTACATGCATTGATCGTTAAGTACGAGATTTCAATGCTAAAACTATACCGCAGAACTGGTAACGCAGCTATCCAATAGAGGTCGAATTAGAGGGTTTGAAGGCACAAGCCTACTTTAAATTGTGATATCGTATTGCTTCTCCTGAATCTTCACAAAGTCCTTTAATCTCTCCTCCTTCTTCTTGATCTTCTCCGGCGTAAAAGTCCCATAGGCCTCGTTCGTCTGGGATATCACCTTTTCCTTCCATTCCTCGTTTCCAAGCACATTAATCTCCCCTAGTCCGTCCCATACCTCCTGCATGGTCCCGCCCAGTTTCTCCAAAAAGGCTCCAATTCCTCCCTCCCCGCCTCCCTGTTGATAGCTCTCGAATACACCATTTCCCGCCCATCGCGGGCCTAGGCTCGCCATCAGAATCGTATCCAGATCCTTGGCAGTAACCACATCCTGCTGCACCAGGTAGCATGCTTCCCGCAGCAATGCAAATGCCAAGCGATTACCGACAAACCCGGGAATCTCCTTCTTGATCACCACGGGCCGGTGGCGCGATCCTGGCACCGAGAAGTACTTCCGAGCGAAGTCCACTCGCTCGGGTGCAGTAGCTGGGGAGGGTACAATCTCCAGAAGAGGCATTATGTGTGGTGGATTGAACGGATGCACCACTAGAAGGCGGGTTTTGTCGCGCATCTCACTTTGCTGCGCTGATGCCGCGATACCCGACGTGCTGGTCCAAAGGTGCGCAGAGGGGTCTGCGATAGATTCGACCTGAGCCCAAAGAGACCTTTTGAATGCAAGATTCTCGGGGCCCTGCTCTTGGATGATGGTGGCCGATGCACAAGCAGATTCGAGTGAGGTATGGATGTGAAGCCGACCTGACGATAGCAAAGAGACCACAGACGACGATGTGGGGGATGAATCATCAGAGCCCAAGGATGAGCCGTCACTCAGATAGTTTGGTAAAGTCCTGAGGAGATACTCTTCCAGGTCTGGTCTGGTGTCGAAGACATCCACAATCGTGTTCTCTCTTGCGAGATGGAGAGCAGCCATTGACATGCCAATAGTGCCCACCCCGATCAAGGCAATTCGCTCTCCTTTTGTCGCTGCCATTGTTCTGATTCAAATAGACTGGTTTGAATTTGATATGGTGAAATGAAAGAGTTCATCCGACTTCCAAAGATGAGAGGATTTTGTTGGCATTTCCCGGCAAAGCTCGGTTCAACAGATTTACAGGCTGTTCCCCTCACTCAGATGTTGCCCCTCCTACCGATGCGATTGAGTCTACCCAAGAAAAAGAATCAAGTCTTCTGTATAATTTGACAACTGAACATACGAGGAGATCGGTAGATCGAGAAGAGTCAGGGAAGATTAATCGATACAATCAAGAATGATTATCATTTCAGTTACCTCAGCATGGGATAAAGGCATGTATATGGCTGCTCAGCGAGTATTTTGTAGAGCAGCTTGCTATCTTTAAAAGAATGTGTGATCTGCCTCTTATTCTGAATTTGTATGATACAATGGTTACGGCACACTATCGCTGCACTGTGCACTTAACCATGGTCTCCTCTTCGCTAATTCCTAATCCGCTGTCACCCCAATAGTATTACTTAGGCAGATAACCTCTTCTTCAAGAAACGAGCTTGGCCTGCATACCAATCTGCTGAATTTCTGAAGATGGAATCAGTAGCTCAGTACTTGACTCGGATCGTTCAAACCGAACAAGTTCAAGCTCTTGCTATGTCGGCGACTGTAACCCTCGTTAGCCCTCAATCAGATGGACCTAACCGGGTTACTGTTCAGCAAAAATCATCTCTACCGGCCGAATATGAGAACTATCTCAGAGACGGTGAGGGACTCCAACTGTATGTCCCCTTGTGTGGCAGTTTTCGCGGGGATATTGTGATACAGAAGCGCAGATACGCCCGAGCTTATGCGCTATTAGCATCTGAGCTGCAACCTGCGCGAGAATTTCAGGATTCGTGTGTCTTCTGGGTTGACAGCTCCTTTGCAAGCTCTCATCCTCAGACTTCAGCCGATTCAACCAAAAGAACCTCTGCTGGGGCTGCTGTGGTGTACAAGAGATGGCCTAACAACAAAGAATGGAAGTCTAAAGCTTTCGGCCTGGCAAGAGTCCACTCCTCTAACTTAGCTGAGCTTCTCGCAGTCAAAGCAGCGCTCGAGATGGCTGCGAAGATTGCCCAAAAGCACAAACGACCTTGGAGGAAAATGACGATCTTCACTGATTCTCAAGCAGCATTGATGGAGATTTCGAAGTTTCCCTATGCAACCAGTACTGCGGAAAATATAGTATCGTCATTCATTAAAGCAGCATTGCTGCTATATAAACTGGGTGTTCGGCTTGAGGTGCGGTGGGTTCCAGGCCACAAGAAAGTCCCAGGGAATGTGCGAGCTGATTCACTGGCCAAAAGAGCTCGGAAATCTGTCGCGATGTTACCTCTCAATTCGACGTTTGAGCAGGAGGCATTGTTCCCGTTGCCATAAACACAACCTTGACGCGAGGATACCTGAACAACGCATGAGACAATGGGTTGCCATACACTATACTATGGAAGCAAGATTCAATTAGCTGAAATGACGAGACTTAAAGTTATCAATAAGAAGTACCTTTCGAAAATCTGCTTAGACACACTGGTTCTCTAGAGCCTTGAATACCTTAGGCTTCGACGTTAGCACGTGCAAAGCTACCTAGATGTCGATCTGCAATCATTGAGGATTATTGAGGAACAAAGAATCGACCAGCTGGTTGTCGAACTTAAAAAATTGACAGACGCGCCATGTACCAGCTCACCTATTTAGTCCAAAACTTGAAAGATTCTTGATATTGACCCTTTTACTATCACTGCTGTTCCTCAACTAGCTATCTACGGAGTTACGTCTCCTTGTTCCTGAAACATTTTCCTCTTCCGCTTTGTGGGTCTTGCCGCCGTCTGCGACCGTTCCCTTTGCGGCGGATCGCAATCTGCTTGGCCACACCACGTTTAGTCGTCCGTCTGCGGTGTCTCCTTCATGTCCCAAACGGAGTGAATTCTGTATAGACTATCTACTCCTCGGTCGAGCTCATTCCTATTCTCTATCGAATACTTCTGTCAAGGCTCAGTCTAGCCTCAGTACCTACAGACAGTCCCATCCAGCGCAAGCTATTCGACGAATCGCGCAACTGACATCATGTTTGAGGTCCTATAAGGCGGAGACAAAAGCTCTTGGGACGAAAGGTCGACCATGGAGGGACTCTTTACTTTGCTCGCTTTGAGCATTGTGATGGCAATTACGTGAGTATTGAGATCGTATCTCGTTCATCTTCAGTCAAGAATAGAAAACTAATGGTCGTCTCGTCTTGTCACAGATCCTTCGTTGTGGGCTCATTACCGCTCGCTTTCACACTTTCCCCCTCGCAGTTGCGATTGATTTCTTCCCTCGGAATGGGAGTTTTGGTTGGGACATCTTTGATTGTTATCATTCCGGAGGGCGTGGAAACTCTTTACAGTGCGAACTCGCATAATGATCGAAAAGGCCTCAGCACTCGTTCAGCGACGGCCGTAGAATGGCAACATCGATCATTTCCGGCTGTCGCGTCAGTCGATTTTTCCAACTCGAATAAGGAAGCAGATTTTACACATCCCACCGTTGTGTCTTCACCGGAGACATCTACCCTGGCACCCTCCGTTCCACTCATACGGACAGTGCACGTTACCCGCGACGACCAATCCGAATTGCGGCAGCGAGAGGATGAGGGTGAGTCGAATAACGAGGAACACAACGGGCATAAAGAAGAGAACTCTTCACATGCTTGGATTGGAATTGCCCTGATCAGCGGTTTTATCCTGATGTACCTCATCGATAAACTACCTGAATTCACAACTCCGTCAAAGCAAGAAAGACCGCCCTACCACATTTCTCTGGACAATTTGGGATCCGGGTTGCGACGCAACCCTTCACCTTCCAGAGAAGGAGGTTTGTTGGACGCCGACAGTACCTCTAGTCGAAGTCATAGCTTTGCGACAACTACCGGTCTCGTCATCCACGCGGCAGCTGATGGCATCGCTCTGGGTGCATCTACCTCCGATACCGGGTTGAGTTTTATCATCTTCCTAGCCATTATGGTGCACAAAGCTCCTGCGTCCTTTGGTCTTACATCTGTGTTGCTCAAGCAAGGCGTGTCTAGTCGAACCGCGAGAGCGCATCTGGTAGTCTTCAGCCTAGCGGCTCCCTTTGGCGCCATGGCAACATTTCTTTTCGTGCGGATCATAGGCTCGAGCTCTAGCAGTGACGAGGCAGCCACTTTGTGGAGGACTGGAATGTTGTTGCTATTCTCCGCTGGAACGTTTCTGTAGGTTATCCTCTGGCCTCGGTTGACTGCAAGAGACAATGGTGGCTAACCGTCTTTAGTTACGTTGCTATGCATACAATGCAGGAGAACAGCCCGAACTCGGCGTTGCGCGAACTACCAATGAACGGATATGGCGATGCCAGAGACATCCCAACTAAATCCGACAAGTCCATGCGGGATCTGGTCGTTTCTGTCATCGGCATGTTACTGCCGTTGTTTTTGCAACTCGGTCATGCTCACTAACTTGTGATTCCGCTTGGAAACCTCTTGCCTTTTAATCCCTTATGTCTACGATCTAATTTGGCTAAAAATCCGGCTACGGTCTGGTTTCAGACTTGTGGCTTCTCGGCGAGCCTAGAAGAATGAACTCATGGCGATCTTGAATACTATAGACTTTGCACGTTCGAACGAAGAAGGATCCATCTGCTTCTCAAGAGCCATAGCGTCTTCTCCTGTTTTGTTCTATACCGGTACCTCATTCTACCGGAAGAGGTGTTGCTCTGTTCTGGCTTAGTGTATTACTCTAAATGCTATATGCGAGTGTTGTTTGTGTGGTTTGTGCCGGTTAAACTGTTGTATAGTATAGCCTTGGTTTCAACCCCTTAACATTGATGATAAAACCATTCGTCATGTCCGGATGATCAACGGGACAATTTGTTCCATGGTTGAAGACATCCTGTTGTCTGCCAACCCAGGGACTCGGGGCAACTATATCACTAAACCCGGGGATTTAAACGGCCAGAGAGTCCATGGGGAGCGCCGATCCTGTTGGAATGGATGGCGGCTCAGCGAGTCCTAGATCCGAAGCGTCTGATAAGATAATCGAATAGGGCCATCCGACAGTGCAAGTTGGGCACATATGGGCACATATGGACACAGGCATGTGGTGGCTGAAGTACGGCTGATTCTGCACTTTTCTTCGCCTCCTTTGACGACAGACTTGTGGGCTTGGAGGTTCGCCTGTGCCACTCTGCCAATACAGGGGGTTTTTATACCTCTGGATTCTGCTCTTCAGCTAGCATACTAAGAAGTCCATTAGTGATGAGGAGTTTGGGGAGGAAGATAACTCATATGTACATATCAATATGATTTCTTGCCCTTGTGGATTGCATCTATTGAGATTACAAAAGTTTGTCATTATTACTACTATTTTTTCGCCTTGTGGAAACTGTTATCCTCTTATCATCAACTGTGGAGACACTATCATCATCAGAAATCACATACGGAGTACAACAGCATCATACCATTTGAAAGCAGAAGAAAATTAGTTGACTTTGATCGCCTACTGCTGTCACTCACTGCATGCTTGGCGGGTTTTTCTTGCCTAAGCTGAGACTTATTTGCGCCGAATAACACGACATACCTAGCTTTTCATGTGCCATATCAAATTCCGCTGAGGACTAGATATCTACACAGAGTACCTATTTCTCCTCAGTCTAGACGGGAGTGGCTTACGGAGTACCTAAGCCTATGATAATTAACTATCGATTATTCTATTATTATTACTACTGAGGCCCGCACCTGACCCGGCATGACATCTGCCGCATGATCCAGACTCCAGACTCCAGGCTCTCTACCTTACCATCCTCTTTTCCTCAGGCTCATCTCCGGATCGCTTGCTTGCCTTTTGATATACGTTCGGCCTTCTTTTTCAGGCACCTGGATGGCATCGTCAAAGTAGTAGCCGCTTCTACTGACTTTAACTGACCTTCTTCTTCCGTTGCCCTTGTCGAGTAATTTTTCCCAACGTTAGTTTCAAAAAAAATACTGTTTTCTTCTTCTTCCCCCCCCTATTTCCTTCTTTCGTCAGAGCGTTTCCTCTAGCGCTCTCGCATCGGAGTGTATCCGTTTGTCATCATCTCACTTTCTCTTTCCTCCTCAATATCAGTCCTCCTTTGACCTCCTCACCACCTCTCTTTTTAACAATATTGTTTTTAATCCCTCTCCAGAAAAGCGTTACGATCTCTATGGTTGAAGTCGATCCTCAAAAGGCTTTCGCGAGTCCATTTCGATAATCATCGTTTGCCGTGGACAAGTGAATGCTGTAACCGTCGTACCCTCCGGCGATTCGTGAACACACTCGTCGGGCGTCATTCATCGAACGGGTGGACTACGGGATGACTCCGCGTAGTGTTTCTGAGCAGTTGGAGACTGCGCATTCCGCATCATCTGCCGCACGGAATTCAGTCTCCCACTCGAGATCTCTGTCCTCCAACAAGACCGTCACTCCTATTCCTCCGAATCTATTGCCCTCCGCACCTGCGTCACCTCCAACTCCGGCCCCTAGCCCGACCCCTCACCAGAGACCTCCAACATGGCAGTCCTCAGACGACGAAGACGATGCCGTTCTCTTGAATGCCAGGATACATTTTAGTTCTTTGTCCAGCGCGAAGAAGCAGAGGTTTTTGGAGGGTGTACTTGGTCTGTGCGACAGTCAGCTTCTCAGCTTTGTGTCGAGTTATGTCGCTCCACGGTTAAGGAAAGATCCTTTTCAGGTCTTCCCAACCGAACTATGCTTGAGGGTAAGCTTTCCCTTGATGATCGCTCGACTCTCCGGACGGAACTGACCGTAAGCGCCCCTCATGGCACTAGGTTCTCTCATTCATCGACGACCCGAAAACCTTGGCGAGAGCCTCTCAAGTTTCAAGACGTTGGCGTGAACTCCTGAGCGATGATATTACCTGGAAAAACCTTTGCGAGAAGCATGCTTATGCTTACCGGAGGCCGTCGGGAGACGATCGAGATTTCATTGACCCCTTCCACCTGCCATCTGTTTCGAGCACACGCTCCCTGAGCGGGCTGCAGAGAAAAGTCTCGTCACAGTCTTCGGATAATCCCTTCGATCTACCGCGCTCTGGCTCTGGGGACTGGCTCTCATTAGCCTCACGGAAGCGACGGACTCGACCCTTGTCATACAGGTCCCATTTCAAGCAAAAGTACATGGTTGAGTCGGCTTGGAATAAAGGCGGCCGTTGCACCCAGCGGCACATCACGCCGGATCAAGGTGTTGTCACGAGCTTACATCTCACCTCGAAATATATCGTGCTCGCGCTGGACAACGCCAAGATTCATGTGTACGATACCAACGGCGACAATCAGAAAACTTTACAAGGTCATGTCATGGGTGTCTGGGCCATGGTACCGTGGGACGACATTCTGGTGAGCGGCGGTTGCGACCGGGAGGTCAGAGTCTGGAACATGGCTACCGGGTAAGTGGTACCTTGAGGGCGCTGTGAACATTCTCAACCCAGCTGCCCTGAGAGGTAAATGGCTAACAGTGTCGCCAGAGCTGGCATTTACCTTTTACGTGGCCACACATCGACTGTGCGTTGCTTGAAGATGTCTGATAAGAACACGGCCATCTCTGGATCAAGAGATACCACGCTGCGCATATGGGATTTGACAACGGGCACCTGTCGGAATGTTCTGGTCGGGCATCAGGCAAGCGTTCGGTGTCTGGCGATCCACGGGGATATTGTTGTTTCTGGAAGCTACGATACGACCGCCCGAATTTGGAGCATATCGGAAGGACGGTGTCAACGAACGCTGTCGGGCCATTTCAGTCAAATCTATGCGATTGCTTTTGACGGCAGACGAATCGCTACCGGCAGTCTTGACACCAGTGTCCGAATCTGGGATCCGCACTCTGGCCAGTGCCATGCTATCCTTCAAGGACATACATCTCTTGTCGGGCAATTGCAGATGCGAGGCGACACTCTGGTTACTGGCGGATCTGATGGATCAGTACGCGTTTGGTCATTGACGAAGATGGCACCTATCCATCGTCTGGCAGCTCATGACAATAGCGTGACCAGTCTTCAGTTCGACAGTTCGCGTATTGTCAGTGGTGGTAGCGATGGTCGCGTCAAGGTGTGGAGCTTACAAACTGGCCAACTCCTCAGAGAGTTGTCTACGCCTGCGGAGTCTGTTTGGAGAGTGGCATTTGAAGACGAAAAGGCCGTGATCCTGGCTAACCGGTCGGGTCGAACTGTTATGGAGGTGAGAGTAGTCCAACTTGAACCTCAGTTTATATATCTGACTTGATTCAATTTCATAGGTCTGGACATTCTCCCCTCCAGAAGAAGATGATGACGGTGCCGTTGTGGAAAGTGCCTCGAGCACTCCAGGGTTACTCCCACGCCAACAAACCAGTCAAGATGACCTCTCCTTGAATTATTCGACTCGTTCAGCTCGACACAGAACGCTCTTTTCGGATCCGCCTCCGACCATGCCCTTGAACAATAACGATGACGACCACCTCATGCCGGATGCCCCTGCCTCGTGATTATTTTCCCGTCGTACTATTTGAGGCTCAATAAGTTCATTACGCCTTTTACTCAGCTCTATTTCTGTGCATTATTTGATCCAAGCCGAGAAAAGCATTGGACAAAGTGCAATTTAAGTCTAATCTCACCGATCGTCGACGATCGTCTGTCACGCTTTACCAGCTAGAGTGCGGGCCACAATCTCGAGATCAGCTAACTTTTGTCATCAAACCTTTTGCATAGATATTGGGTGTTGGACCGTTTTTTTCGCTTCTATCGTTGTCATCCCCACTACCTCAATTTCGCGGAGTTTCGAATGGGAGTCAGCGGGTCTTGTTGAATACCCTTCGACGCGGTTTGAATTTTTCCTCGCCGGTTCGATGATACCCACCCCAGGAGGCGATGTATTTGGCATCTAGGAATTGGGTTTCGACCTTGTGACGAGAAGTGGTCTCGCAAAATCCATGGTCACGGTCTTCGTTGTCATGTTGTTACTGCTTCCGGCATATATACTTGCATATCAATAGGCATTATAGAACCAAGCGCTGTTCCTCTCGTTCAATATGCCGCATAGCTGGCTGTCCTGTTCGTAAAATAGCGAAGATACAAGCTAAGGCGTATTGTTAAATCCTTGAAGAATTCGCTTGAGCAGGGATTTATGTGCCTTTTATGCATGACTGGGGAGTTATCCGAGGAAATGACTAATACACGATTCCATCCATATCCCTGTCAGCCGACAACTGCCACTGTCCAATCTTCCACGATGATGCATGAAACAAAAAGCAAGCATAATCCCTATTTCAAAGTTGTGTCTTGATATTTTATTGTATTGATCTCTTGTCGTAGGTTCAGAAAGGAGCGTGAATACCAGGGAACCTACAGAGAGCCATCATCTTGCTGGCCACAACCATCAATCATGTCCAGGCGTCAGGCAGACGAATTCAGTACATCTGCATCTTGGATTTGAAGCCACAACCACAATAAAGAGGCACGCCTCAGCATCTCCAAACTTTTCGAGCTTTCCGTCGCATCTGTAATTCTACAAGTGATGTAAATATGGTATATGGAGGAAGACCGAGCACAGGTTGCTATCTTTGCCTTAAAAGAAAAGTGCGGGTAAGTCAACGATCATTTTGTTTTCTATCCATCATGAGCTAATGATATCGAAGTGCGATGAGGCATTGCCAGAGTGCCGGAATTGCGTCGTCTACGGACGGCCATGTCCGGGTTATCGGCCCGATACCATTTTCAGGGACGAGACGCAGAAAGTGCAACGAATGGTGAAGAAAAACCAGCTTGACAAGTCGTCTTCTGCCGGCTCAGGCAAGACCCGAGCAACAACGCCGCGTACAGTTGAAGTCCCAGAACAGAAGTCTTCTCCTGTATTGGTTCGTCAGATCGCCGACTCGAGCTGGGAAGAGCGGGCGATTTGCTTCTTCTTCGACCAGTACACGTGCTCGAATGAGACGGGCGAGTGTATCAGCCACCTGGGGTTCTTGCCGTCGCTGTACGCCCTGTGCCGGGATCTTGGGGAGAAGGAATGCTCCGCATCGTCGTCGTCGCTGCGGCTGGCGGTGGACGCGACGGCTCTTGTCACGCTTAGCAATGAGATCAGGGAGCCCTCGTTGATTGTCAAGGCGCGGTATCTGTACGGTATGGCTCTGCAGCGCCTGCAGCAGGCGCTGGCATCGCGGACGCAAGCTGTCCGGGATGAGACATTTGCGTCGGTGGTCCTGCTTTCCATATTCGAAGATATTACTGGGGAGCGCAATGGACTCGCGAGCTCGCATACGGTGGGATTGGAGCTTCTGATGAAACTGAGGGGCGTGAGTCAGTTTGGCCACGCGCAGGGTCGGGATCTGTTCAACTTTGCCTATGCGCATACGGTATGTTTTTTTCTCTGTGTCTGTGTATCTGCGGGTAAAAACTGACGGGCACCAAGCATACCGAGTTCTTGGCCTTGGGCGACAAGCCTCGGTTCAAGACTGATTGGATTGCTGGACTCTTGAACAGTTCGGATCCCGTACACCGGCTGATGCTCGTCGTATGGAAAGTTAGCCAGATATTCCTCGAGAGTTCGTCCTTGCAGGCCTCGGCCGGAGCGGAAGATGTGGGCAGGCTCGTCTCGTGCATGGAAAACGCCAGATCGGTGGATTTGGAGCTAGCAGCGTGGAGTCAGAGTCTGCCCGATATCTGGCTCCCCCTCATCGTCTACGCGCAGACACACGAGTCTTTGATGACCTATCAGCAGATCTCGATCGCAGCGGTGTGGAACTACTACCGTGCTGTTCGCATCATCCTGCTCAAAGTCATGCTCGGGCTCCGCGACACCCTTGCATCAGCCGTTGGCGAACGCGGAGCCTATTGCGAGCTTCTTCAAGAGGAACCGATAATTCTGGAGTCGATTCAGGAAATGATCACGGATGTCTGCCGGAGCATCCCCTTTGCCTTTGGCCTTGTGGATGCGATGGGCAATCCGCTCCCGACATCTTCGGAGGGCAAGCTACACATTCGTGCTTTCCAGGGGTACAGTATGGTATGGCCCTTGTGGTATATCTCGTCATGTGGTCTAGCAACGCCAGAACAGAGCCACCAGGTCCGAACTGTTCTGGCCCGGGTAGGGTCTACTCTGGGGATCAAACTGGCGTTGATACTAGCTGGGGAAAGGGAGGCCGGCTATATAGCCCCTACCGCCCTAGGCGACTGTATCGTCCGTGAAGAGACTGTGGTGTAAACATGACGGCCATTGCTGTACTACTGTACTAATTGCTGGCGATTAGTGGGATTCGATGCAGCGCGTACTCTTTTTCATTCAGGTTGTATATGATTTACTCTTGTGATAATATCGATTCTTACTATACATACATAACTTCCGAGGATGATATTCATCTCTTACCACTGGTAGTACGGAGTAGCAATAGCGGGCATAATGACGTCATTGATATGTTCCTGAGGCCGTCTCAATAGTGCACCTTCAAGAACCTTTACGAGTCTCATTCAGAGTCACTGGTGGCTAAGAGCAGATAATAGATAGATATATGCGTCAGTCTCACAAAGAAAGACATACAAAGAAAGATATTCCAGTAGGTCTCCATAAGTAGATGCACAAATGCTATGCCGCATCACCGTGTCATCGACAAGCAACATGCCATGCCGGTTTAGCCGTTCGCATTGTCCCTTATGTATCTGACATAGTCCGGATTAAGAGGTACCTAATAATAGGTAATGTCCTACTGGCTAAAGTACCGTAGTAACCGGGTCTCCGTCCTCTGACGACATCGGTCCGGCTGTGTGTTGTACCTTTCTGGCTGGGGTTGGGTTGCTTTCGTAGATTTATTGATTTTGTCTCTTGGTGTAAATCTTCCTTTCTGTCTCCTTTTTATTCAGTGAGCGCATTGGCCGTTGTCTGATCCTTTGCATCAGTCCCCTTCGACCTACATATACAGAACTTGTCGAGTTGACATTCACAATGGCCTCGAAAGAGCGGCAGCTTCCATTCGGAAGGATCGAGCCCAATTCAGCCAAGTACTTTCTGAGCTGTACTCTGGGTGGAATCGTCGGTAAGAGTTGCATCCATGCTACATTGTGCTGGACTGGATGCTGACGCAGTGGTTTTCACGTTTGAAGCATGTGGTAAGTGGTGTATACGAAGAATATTTCTTGCTGGAATTCTCCCTTTGATAATAATACGTACCTTCGATCAGGACCTACGCATACAGCAGTTACCCCCCTCGACCTGGTCAAATGTCGTCGCCAAGTAGACCCCAGCATCTACACCTCCAACCTCTCCGCATGGCGCCAGATATACTCCAAGGAAGGCCTACGCGGCGTGTTTTTCGGCTGGTCGCCTACCTTCATCGGGTACTCGTTCCAGGGGGCAGGCAAATACGGTCTCTATGAGTACTTCAAGTACCTGTACGGGGACCACATGTTCCCCAACATGAACCGCACGGTGGTATTCCTGGGCGCCAGCGCATCAGCCGAATTCTTCGCGGACATGGCACTCTGCCCGTTCGAAGCGATCAAGGTGCGCATGCAGACGACCCTGCCGCCGTATGCGCACAGCCTGCGCGAGGGATGGAGTAAGGTCGTCGCCAAGGAAGGGTTCGGTGGTCTGTACAAGGGGCTGTACCCGCTCTGGGCGCGTCAGATCCCCTACACCATGACCAAGTTTGCTACCTTTGAGGAGAGTGTGAACATGATCTACCGGACCCTGGGGAAGCCCAAGGAGAGCTTCAACACGGTGCAGCAGACGGGCGTTAGTTTCCTGGGAGGCTATATTGCCGGTGTCTTTTGCGCTATCGTCAGTCATCCTGCCGATGTCATGGTCAGCAAGTTGAATGCCGATCGGAATGGTGAGTGTGTCTCTGTCTGCTTTCTGATGTCGTTTTTGCTGACGGGCTTTGCAGCTGGCGAGCCGGCAATGGCTGCCGTGTCGCGAATTTACGGCAAGATCGGATTCTCGGGCCTGTGGAACGGCCTGCCAGTTCGGATTGTGATGCTTGGTACATTGACCGGCTTCCAATGGCTAATGTAAGTCGTGCCGTTGTCCATTGTCCTGATTGTGCCTGTTTCGCTGACGTCGTCGGAAACAGTTATGATTCTTTCAAGGTGTTCCTGGGACTCCCGACCACTGGTGGTCATTAAGGTGTTCATGAGGGCTTATGACAGCTGTTTGGCGTTTATCGCGTATTGTAGTTAGATCCATAGAGGGAACACCTGAAATCGTTATTCTTCTGTTGCTTTTCCCCAGTAGATTGACCGCCCTTGATAACCACCCGGCAGAATAATAGCCGCGAATCCTCCCTCGTCGGAGCAGCTTCCTTGATGGCGATGTCTGGCATTGGCAGAAAAAAAGTCTTCAATTTCATTTCTTACACTGATTTTATATAATATAGTCTTCTTTGCAGAGAAAGCATTGACTGAGTGACAATCCACGTGTCAGTTGCCGTTATCCACCCAATTATCGTGAAAAGGGATCGAGTCATCACTTTCGCATCTCAAGACAATAAGATCGGCTTCTCTTTCATCCTGTTCGGCCTCGACCCTTCCAACGTCAACAATAGCGAATCAAGCATTGGCAATAGTCATTTGGAGTGTTCACCTGCAACACCTCGTTTCTAAAACCCCTCCAACACTTCCACCGACCTTCATCCCTCGCTCTCGACCCTCGACCAATTCTCTTTAATTTTCTATCTCACTCAACCTCACGCGGATAGAACCGACCCTCAGAACAAACAGCAAGAGTACGAAAGAAGACAACCACAATGGACACATCCACCAAGCCATCATCATCACTACCCTCCTCCAACCCCCCCAGCGTCGAAGGCGCTTACAAACGCAAATGCATCGCCCTCAAGAAACGATTAAACGAGATCGAGGCCGAGAACGAGATGATGCGCATGCGCAACAAGCGCGGATGGCAATACATCCAGAAAATGCGCCTGGAGTCCTGTATTCTGCTCGAGCGTCTGGCCAAGGTCACCGGGATGGCCGAGGAGGCTCAGGCGGGCGTGAACCCGGAACTGCGCGCCCGCGCCGCGGCCATGATGAACAACGCGGGCGCTCTGAATGGGTATCCTGGGGCGGCGGGCGCGGGTGCGGCGGCTGGTAGTAACGGGGCTGCGTATGTCGAGGATGAGACGGAGGGGAGCTCGGATGAGCAGCCTCCTACGGTGAGTTTTGGCTGTTCGAGTGACGTTTGAGCTTGCCAGTGTCGGGTTCTGATGACGAGAGGAACAGCCTCAGGAACGCCCGTTGCGTGTGAAACGATCCCGGAAGTCGAATATCGGTGATGTAGGACTGGACGAGGAACCCTCGACCAGCGCCCCGCCTGAAGGATCTGCTGCTGACCCCTCGGGCTTGCCGCGACTCGCGCCCGCCCCGACACAGGAGGAGATGACCTCGACGTTTCGTATTCGCACAGGCAGCAATGGCGCCGTACACGAAGGAGAGAACAGTCATGCTACGAGTGAGCGCGGCAGTCAAAACCCGGAGTCTGGTGCTGCAGATAGGGCAAAGGAGCTCTCGACGACACCGATGGATGTGGACAAGGCGCCGAAAGAGGAGAGCCAGGGATGATGAGAAGTCCTTTTTTGTTTCCTTTTTTTTGTTTCTCTGCCTCTTCTAGATTAATCTCCCTTTTCTTCAGTTCTATTTCATATGCAGCTATCCCCATATTGAAGGAGGGATTATTCTACATGGTTTCCTCACAAAGAGACGTTGGTGCTCGTTGTAGCGCTTTTTATCAGTGCCTGGACGCCCTTCCCCAAAGTACTTGAAGATCAAACAACGAAGTGCCGGGAGACCCGAGATAGACACGCGTATGGAAGATTGTCTGGCCACAAGGGTTCGCCTCGTCCTCGAACTCCTCCCACGCTTACCGCAGCGAGCATTCACGGTCAGGATGCTTCGTAATGGAATGTCCCGGTAGACATGTTCAATATCAACAGCCTGTCGTGTAAGACAGGAAGATCAAGCCCCTCGATAGTGATACATACAGAGATTGTTGCCTCGAGATAGGCAAGGCAAAGATAAGGATGCAAAGATACCCGCACGAGAAAGACCTAACTCCAGTACCAGTCCCGAACAAACGACGCAAAGACTTCCGATGCTAAATATGGGCCGCAGCTGATGCAGTGAGCTTGTGTAGATCGAGCGCAAAATGAATGATGAGTCGTGCACAATTTATAGTTCAATGAAAGATCAAAATCCGATGGTCGTTGGAGTGTTTGAAGCGTCACCGAAAAGTTAGGAATACTTAGAGGAACACCAGATGAGCGACTAATCAACTCCTGCGTACAAGTCTACCACGATGTTAATGGCCGCAACTAGGATTTCCGCCGCGATCAAGATGATGACTGTAGTTGGTGAGCCAAGCAGGAACCGACACGACGGCTGGAAGCAAGGGACTTACCGATCCATTCAAGATACTCACCGTGGCGGTGAGTCAACTGATCTTTTAGGACTGCCAGAAGATCCGCAATGACGTCCAGTCGCTCTGTTAGGAGACTGACTCGTTGGTCCATCTCGAGATAGCTTCGGACAGCCTGGTAGACCGGCTCGAGCTGCGGCTCTGCCCACATCAGTTCCGGACTGTCGAGGACAGAGCCTTGTAAATGAATGTTTATTCGTAAGATGAACAGTTCTCCAATCTGCATGTTGATCTGTCGCCGCGTCATGTTGACACTGCCCGTCTGGGCGATTTGAGCTGGTAGTGGTGCGGTATTCGAGATGGTCTCCGAGACGAGATCCTCGAAGAGAGATGTTTTGACTGATTGAGACAAGGCATGTGAGATGGCAAGCTTGATCATATGGTTTCGAGGATCACGTAGCGAGATAAAGTCGTTGTATATCCGTGCCTGGTATTCGCGAGCATAGTAGAAGTTGAAATTCTCCACCTGCGTATCTTCGGGGCTCAAAATTGAGTTTGCGAATTTCGAAACGTCGGATAGGAATCGTGATTCTTGCGCGGGTGACATGCCCCATATGACCACCGTCCCGTAATCGAAAAGGAAGACCTCCGGCGTGTGGATGGTAGTATCGAAGTCTGGAGTCTCATCTGTCCGCGCCACTGCTACGGAGGTTTCTGAGTGAGCGTCATGATGCGATTGTTCTTGCGAATCCCGCAGGTCAATGAGGTCTTCTCTGCGCGATTTCGTATTATCTTCAATCTCGACCGCACTGTCCGAATACCTACGCTCGCCAGACGGCCGATCGGTAGTCGTCGGGATAGGGTGAAGCCCCAGCGCATTGTCCGACAGATTCCTGGACCCTCCTTTTTTATCCTCATATAAGTAATCGTAGGGAGAGTAGACGCATTCGTCATATAGCTTCGGGTTGGCTCCGCGGGTCTTTGATCGTGCTTTGAGGAACTTGATGACGCCTTCTAGTCTGTACGAATTGGCCGTACAGTATGCCGTTACTCGTGGAAGTCGATCTCTGTCTGCTTTCCCCAGTCTGGCAGCGTGACTTCTAGCAGTTGGTTCTTTAATTCGCGTGATCTGCGAGTACACATCTCGCGGGAACTCGTCGTCCGCAATGTCCTCTTCGGCGGCTGTTATAGGATCGGGAAGCAGTTTTAATTTCTGCGCATTCTTGGTCGTTCGCTGGGGTCCGACTTTGGGTGCTGGTGGCATTGAAGGGACTGCCGTGCTGTAGGGAGCTCCATGGCTATTGCGGCGACGGAGCTTGCTGTTCAGGGCAGAAAGGCCGGTCGGTCTTGATTGATTGGACGGAGCGTTGGGAACAGACGAAGCACCAGAACTCAATGGCTTAAAGGTGGGATCCGCAGAGGCAGTAGCATCATGGTATGTACTGACCGTGGCCAATGGGTTGAATGTCACTGTCCGCGGCGGACGGCTTCCTCGCTGTTGTGACGTCTTGGAGGATGCTGGCTGCTGTTGGTATTGGGGGAGTAACGGGGTGTTCTCTGCTGCCGAAGCCATCCTGATCTTTCGTTAAATAAATCAATCGAGAGACGTCTGTCATGAATAGACAGATCAATGTCTGAAATAAAAGAGGAGAAAAGGCCTCTGTGGGCTAGCCGCAGAGATGAAAGCCAAAGGCCAAAGCCAAACCGGACGGATCGCAGAAAGCTCGAAGCTTTGCACGTGCTCCCGCCAGACGCTGCCATCAGCCAGTTTTTGCCCAAACTTACTGCCTATCTACAGTGGAAATTTAATATGCTCATTATTACTATAGACGAATATAGGTAGTAATAGTAGTTCAAATGAGGTATTTCTGCTTCAATGTACACAATTTCACTCGGGTATCCAATGACTCGATCATCCTGATATTTTCCAGCATCAACCGGACAGATGAGAGCCCATTCTCAAGTTGTACGACGCTGGAACCGTGACCTTGAACTGTATGTGTATACGGCAACCATCATACAATTCATACAGCTAGAGCTTTCAGAAGCGTTTCAGCGCCCTGGTCCGGCGATGATTAAGCCTTATAGACCTTCAAGAAAGTAGTAAATACGGCGGACTTCAATTGGAGTCAGCCCTAGCTCTGTTGCCTGTCGCAGAGGCGCAAGCCACTCAATAGCCTATAGCTGATGTATGATGTATAATGGCAAGGATATGCCTGTCATTATTCCAAGCCGATTTCAATCTGCATCAAGACGCCATAAACACCTTGTCACCGGGTTCAAAGATACGCAGAAACCGATAGAATAGAAGCCCTTATCTGCGAACAAACCCCGAAGAGCCACCTGCGGTTCTTCTCAGACCATTGACAGTGGCGGTACTGCGAGCTCTGTTGAGCCAATTCTGCTTGGCATTCCGTCCAGTCTTTGATGATTTGGGCGGGAGGGACGTCTTGGCCTTCTTAGTCGGGTTCTCGTCTAGCACACGAATTGTAACATCGCCCAGCTTGACATCCTTGGGGCGTTTCTCCGTAGCGTCGAGAAATTTCAACTTGTTTGGCTTCTTATGCGAAACATTAAGCGCCTCTAAGGGGGGCGTTGGAGGTCTGGCGACAGGAGCTGCATTGAGAATCTCATCCGGCAGGAGAGCTGGGAGGGCTGATCGGCGGGCATCTTGTGTGGTAGTACCTCGCAGTGTCTCCGTGCTTTCTGAAAGCTGGTCATCAGCAGAACCGGCTGCTAATTTGGTCTTGGCATTGAGGACCTCCTTTTGTTTCGCTTGCTGTTTGCGGAGTTCATCCAGTTGTTTTCTCTTCTCCCTTTTCAGCTGTTCCTCACTGTAGATTTCGAGTTAGAAACCAATGTATTTTTTGAGAGGTAGTGGAGATACTAACATCTGTCTGGCTCGTTCTTGCTTCTTGGCTTCCAGTCTGATCTTGGACATCTGAGCTGAATTGTCAATCGCTTCGGGAGCTTCGTCATCATCACTACTGTCTTCCGTGCCCTGATCCTTCTGCTGAGGCTCTGGCACCTCTGTCTCCATCTCCACCGGCAGTTCAGGCTCTTCGCTGTCGAATCTGAAGTGTTTCTTCTTAGCCGCAGGCGCCTGTACCTCTTCTCGCTTCGGCACTGATTCGACCATGGCGCTAGATGTCTCAGTCGACAGTTCTCTCTCCGGCTCTTCAGCAGCCTCTAGACTGCTTCTCTTTCTCCGTTTGTTGTGCTGTGATTCGGGCTTTCCAGAGCTTGTAGATTCGGGCTTGCGCTTCCCATTTGCGGGAGTCGAGACGCCTTTTCTATCGCCAGAAGCTGTCGACGATGTCTCGAGGTTCCTCCTTCTCGTTGCCGTCACCATTTTTGCTTCGCGGCCAATTGGACTTGTTGATGCCGCGGAGGTTGTATTGCTGCTTTCACGTTTGGCTTCGTCGACTTCTTGTCGTGCAAATAGACCTTTCGCTGCTGTGACAATGTGAGAAAACATAGAGAATCAATCGATTCCACTATGAATTCTGAACAATCGAAAACTGTGAGACGTTAATTCTGCGCTCGGCGACGAGCAGATAAGCTTCTGAAGAAATTCAACTGATAAAATCTATCGGTGCGACTTTGATCCGAAGGCGGGACTCTAAGTGCCAAGAATCTCATCGTCTGGTTTTCCCCTCACAGACATTAATATTAGTGACAAGAGCACCGCAAGAAATTCGAATAAGAATTGGGAAAGCCGGCACCGATATCAGGCAACAATATAGCTTGCTTCAACTCCCTAAAGTCTAGGCAGGACTCGACATTTACTTGAAATGGTATCTTATATCATACAACCAACTCCGTCTGTAAATATAAGCATCAAACCCAGGATATATAGACGCAAAACTCCACAACACCTTTTTCCAAACCGATTAAATGCAACAAGAAGGCAGCGTCGCATGAATAGCCAGCCCAAATCTGAGATCTTCCCAATCACTGAGCAGCAATCATTTGATTGCGTTCCATGAGTTCCTCCTGCGCCCCCAGGAAGTCATCCTCACCTATATCACTGACTTCATCCCAGAACTTGCCATGTTCGTCACCGTCATCCCCACTGACTGTCCACATACTCTCGCGCAGCCTTTTATTCCGTTCGCGATCTTCTTCAATCCGTTGCTCAATCTGCCTCTTGTCCACACGCATCCCACTCGGCCTGGAGCCTCGCGGGGTCCCTCCTTTCGCTTTCGCAACACTATCGACCTCCTCTTCGGCTTCCAAGTCAAGATGTGCGACATGGGCCTCCCGCTCCTTGAGCCCGGCGTCGATCTCAGCTACCGTTTCGGCTGAGAGAATATCTTTACTCTGGAGACCGTTGAGAACACGACGGACGTGCTTAACGTTTGCAGCTCCTGATCCGTCCGGTGGTACGACGGCATCAACGACGCGTAGGATATCCCTTTGCATCATCCGGACGTAGGGTGTGTGGTTTTCCTTGGTGGCCATTTCGCAGAATTGCTCGATGAAGTACATGATGTTGGCGCGGTTATTCATGTTGTTCTAGAAAGAATAGCGTCAGAAGTCAGAGTAAATTCCTGCATGACAGGGAAGATATACCCTTTCAAGCTGTTCTAGGATACAAGAATGGAGATCCTCATCCATGTCGCGGTATTTTAGCGCATAATGCGCTGCTTTCTGTGACGAGGTCACGGAGGCATTAAGATGTTGTAGCTGCGTAGTGAAGCGCATACGAACCTCAAAGGGATCCGCCATCATGGTTGCGGTTCTGGAATTCTAGAAAGCTCAATTAGTTCAATTGCCTCGAAAGTAATCAGTCTCCGATAAGAGAGATAGCGGAAACCCAGCGGAGATCTTTGATTCCAGGCGGTGGAATTCTTTTGCCGGCAGAAAATGTGGGGTCCTTGACTCCCCAGTGCCTCTGATCGGCATGGAATTTGCGATATAGCATCGCCAGCGGATCCCCCAAGATCAGAGTTAGGTATCATAAGGCCACACAGATGACTGTATTTCTACTAAAATAAAATTCAAAAAAATTGAGCGACCCAGTCTCATAAGTTGCATCACGTCCCAAAGAAAAAGCCAATATTCAAAAACCTCCTCTACAAGGGTATATGTTTCGTTGTCCACTTCCATTCCGCAAAGATCAAAGAGAAGGACGTCTATCCAGGGAACTCGCAAAACTTGTCCCGTCATCACTTTCAAGAAGACCAACCTCCTCGGCTGTGTTTCTTTGTCTGAATGAATCAGTGTCTAGGCCTTTATCTCTGCGGGATTCTGCACCGTCAATGATAGACCAAACGTCCTTCTTAGTGAGTAGGCCTTGAAGGACACCCTTGTTCGCGAAGAGGACATAGCGGAGACCCAATCTCTGGAACATGCGTCGTACTATTAAAAAAGTCGTCCCACTGTTAAGTGTAATAGGAGTTTGATCCATCCAGGGCCGAAGATCGAGGGTTTCGGCAGGGTCCGCAAACGGCTGATGGGCGAAGAAGACCTGCGTCGAGCCCGGCAAATCGCGCTCTGCAGGAGATGAGGAATATTTCAGTGCATAAGATAGTTCGTTGCGTGAGATATAGCCCAGAAGAATAGGATTCGACGAATCGGTCACGACAGGGAATCCACGATATGAGGTGGCCATGAGAAGGTTGCGGAGGCTATCAATAGTATGTCCATTGGCAACGATGACCGTGAGGTCCTCGACCTTTGTCATGACTCTATGAGCAGGTAAATCAGGGGAAGTAGTGTCGTCACGATGGTCAAGGAAGGGATATTCCTTGAGATGGATCCAAGACTCGTAGATACCGCGTTTGCCGAAGATATCACCGCACCATTTGGACAACATAACCGCAATCATGATAGGAATGACATATGTCAAGGCACCTGTGAGCTCGAACATGATCACAACAATTGATACGGTCATCCGCGTGGCGCCACCTAAAGCTGAAGCTGCTCCGACGATTGCATATATTCCCGGTGTCACACAAGGAACATCTGGCTCGCAGCTGTTAAAGAAGAAACAATTTGGATAGGCATTCTGCCACATCTTAAACATCGTTCCAAATGCACGGCCGTACAAGGCACCAATGGCAACAGAAGGAAGAATGATACCGGCAGGTATGTCCAACCCAAAAGTAAATGAGGCGAGAAAGAAGCCAAGAAGTGCAGCCATAAGCAGAAGAGTTATTGTACCAGCTGACGCAGCACCAGTTTTGCAAAGACCCAAGAGATCATCGGGCCCCGTGCCACATTCGGCAAACAGAGAGTGGACAAGCTCAGAATTTTGGGCTCTCATGAAGATATTTGGAAAGTTGATCAGAGCAGATAGAAGAGCAATGATCGTAACTTCTAATACCGGCCGAGACCAGGTTCGGGATCGTCGCCATTTCGCGACTTTCATGTTCAAGCGGATCAGAAATGCTCCGTACAGACCACCAAGGATACCGAGGAGGATGAAAGGGATCATTTCGAAGCGATGCCATCCACGTGTATACTTAACTTCGTAGAGCACAATGTTTCCTGTTCGAAAAGGGTTAAGCGCTTGAAGAGTGACAGCAGCAACCATTGCACAAACAAAACTCTGCCACATTGTTTTATCAGGAAAGTAATACGACAATTGCTATCCTTCGTTAGATGAGGCGGCTACGGGAATATAGATCTGAGAGACATACCTCGAGACTGAATAAAACACCTCCAATGGGTGCACCGAACGCGACAGAAATTCCTGCAGCTGCGGCTGCGGAGAGGACTTCACGTTTTCTCGCTATATCGCTTAGTATGAGCCGCTGAATGCCGGCTTGACCACATACCTTCGTTATGATTCAAACAGTCGAAGAATTTCATCATGACGTTGGCGCAACAGCATGCAACGTGCACCAGAGGACCTTCTTTACCTAGCCACATCCCTGATGCAACTGCCAGACACTTTTCCTCAGTAAGCATTCAAGAAGCTGGCCATAGAGAATACAGGGGATACCTACTAAGCCTAGGGATTTGATCGCGAGCGTCCAGGGTCCCATAAAATGTCTAATGACGAAGCCACCAAGGACTGTCTTGATCTCAGGAATACCGCTGTGTCTTGCATATATTGCGTATGATCTGACCAGAAAGCTCGCGCAGACAGCGAAGACCACCTACCGTTTGTCAGTAAGTGTTTCAGAATAAACAGGAAAAGAATGTTTATTACCGAGTAGAGGACGTAGAATATATATTCTACCGTATAGCCTCCGCTGGAAGAACGAACCCCAAGAGCTTTACGCCACGGTGTCCAATCCAAGCACTCAGATATGTCTGATGGATATGCCGCGTCAGTTGCAGACGAGCACTGCTGAGAACGAACACCTTACCGTCGTGACCCCAGCAACAAAAACTTCGATTCAGATAGAACTTGCCCCCTCCTGGTCCATTCTTGCAATAGCCCGTTTTCAGATCTCCTAGCCAGTCGCTTGTGATGTCAATGCATGCCGCAATAATACCAACGAGAACCCCTGTCGCTATTAAAACCACCCATACGTTACTGGCCTCCAATAGCCTGCGGGCATACCCTGAAAGACCCGGCGCGCTCGAGTAGAGCAGCCTCTTTCTTTGGCGCTCTTTTGTGTATTCAAAAATCCAATCGATGGCTGTAAGATCGTCGTAGCCTACTCGACGCCCTGGGCCTTCCACATACCAATCCAAGAACCCTCCGTCTTTTGGTGCATTAAGATTTCCGTTCCCATTTCGCGCTCTCAGTCGCCTCAAGGACGAATCAACCTCCGGCGTGCGCTCGTTTGTTGTGTTCGTCGCCTGGAAGGGAATTGTAGTTTCGGGTTCATCACTGGAAAACAGGCTCGAAAAACTGAACTTTGCACGTTGCTTTTGCTTGCGCTTGAAAGAAATTCTACAAACCGGGCCAGTCAGGATATGCGCAGGGTTGAAAAGCCGTAAGACTCACGGTTCAGCTAGGCCTCCAGCCAGCGATTCATTGGAACGATCCTGGTCGGTATCGTTATCTAGGTTCGATGACTGGTCGTGAACCTGCGCAGATGAGGACGGTTTTCCGACTTCTGACCCTGAAAGCGTTGTTGACATGACGGATGATGGAAGCATATCATGTCCACATCGCAGCTGTACCATCGCCACTGTCAGTAATTGAGCAATCAGAATCTCGGTCGCGATCAAACAACTGGTCCTCGATAGGTATCGGAGATCGGTGGCGCAGTACTCCATACCTACCCTGGTGACTCGACACCGCCTACTTTTCATGGACAGGCATTTGTTACCGGCAGGGCAGGCGGTGAAAAAGACGGTCATTTTCTTCCGTAAAATAATATCGAGGTACTACAAATTTTTTGTCCATTCGTTCCATATCACTGGAGTTCCTCTGGCGGCAGGGTTCATCATGAACGGAAAACCTGCCTATGAGAGGCTTCTCAGTGAGTCCCAAATCCTTGAGCAGCTTCCGAATGAGCTTGCGGAACTCATCCGTACTGCTTCTGGGACTCAGTTCCTGAATGCGCTCGCGGTTAGCGCATTGAGGTCGAAATGCACAGAAAGCCTTTTCAGCATATACGAACCGATCTTTGTTGATTTGGCAGCGCGATGGCTCTCTTCAGATCTTCAAGTCGACCAGTTCCAAATAATTTCCGCCTTTGCACGTATCTTACCGTTTGTGCCATATCTGCGACCTTTTGCCAGTCAATATGCCGCCTCGTGGGCTGGACCTCTTTCGGCTTTGGCTGTATCGAAAGAACAAAGTACCTCTCAACTGGATGATGCTACCCTCCACACGCTACTCCTCGCTATATTCCGACTTTTGTCCTATGATCTTGAGGTCTTCTCGACGACTGTATCGCCCTCACAACTCCAGTCCCTATTCCAGCACCGAGATCAGTCTATCAGATACTTAGCAGTACGGTGTTTTGCCTTATACATGCGTGCAGCTGATGCTGCTACAGAAAGAATGATTGGGGCATATCTCGCAGATGGTCCGATTGAAGGACCATGGGAAGGCATGGTGATCGATTACCGGTGTCTTGGTTTGTGGGAAGAGCGTCGGTGGAAGACCCTCGAGAAGCAGATTGTAGACGTCAGATCGAGCCGGCAAATCTCGGACAGCTTTCTACATGCCGAACAGTTGCGAGAGTACTATACTGCGCGCACAGCTGAGGTCTGTGGTGTGTTGATTCCGCGACTGCATGATTCACCAAGTTCACACTCCTCGATTGTGAGAACCACAACCGCTGTGGGCAATCTACGGAAGATCGCGAAAGCATTGCTTGCGCCTGAGCCCATCCTACTTGTTGGACTACCAAACTCGGGCAAGACCACTTTGGTCAATGACGTCGCTGCGACAATGGGACAATTAGAGTCTATGGTTACACTTCATCTGAACGAACAAACGGACGCGAAGAGTCTCCTCGGAATGTACTCAACGTCGCCGGCTACAGGTTCCTTTGCGTGGCAGCCTGGTGTATTGACCAAGGCTGCAAGGGAAGGTCGCTGGATTTTGATCGAGGATCTTGACCGTGCACCCTCCGAAGTCATCGGCCTCATATTGCCTATCATTGAGAAGGGCGAGCTGACCATAGCTAGTAGAAAGGAACGCATCAAGTGCGCTGAGGGTTTCAAGATTATTGCAACCATGAAGTCAACCTACAATATTGCGGGCGAAGAGATTGCGCCAAACACCAATCTGTTGGGAAGCAGATTGTGGCAGAAAGTCCAGATAGACTCGCTTTCGATAGACGAAATTCGACAAGTGATCATCCGCAAATTCCCCCTGCTTGAATCTCGCGTTCCCGTTATCATGGATGTATACCAAAGGGTTTGCTCTTCATTCCATGGAAGCCTTGCCATCAAAAGCTCGCAAGGAAGGACTCCGGGTCTTCGCGATCTGATCAAGCTTTGCAGCAGATTGCATATGCGACTGCAGCGACTGGGGGCCAAGACTGGCTATGAAGCGACACCCGAAGCTGTCGAGGATGAGGTATTTCTGGACGTTGTGGATATCTTCCTTAGATACATTCCAGAGAAAAATTTGGCACACTCGCTCGCATTGGTTGTTGCAGAAGCACTCCAAATATCGCCACAACGGGCGCAATTCTGTCTTCATGAACGGACGCCTGCCTATTCAGATCATGGGAACAGCGTGACCCTCGGAAGGGAGATCTGTCGAAAGAACAAAGTACCCAGTGGATCGGCTTCGAAGCTTGCAGCTGCTTCCTCACGCTTTGCCTCGACTCGAGCGGCCTTGAAGCTGATGGAACAGGTTGCTGCCGCCGTACAAATGGCCGAGCCTGTTCTTCTCGTCGGAGAGACCGGTATTGGGAAAACCACAGTAGTCCAACAGCTTGCGAATCTGATGCGGCAGAAGCTCACGGTAGTGAACTTGTCGCAGCAGAGTGAAAGCACTGATCTGCTGGGTGGCTTCAAGCCTGTCAATATCCGTACCATGGCTGTCCCTATGCTCGATGAGTTTAACACTCTCTTTGAACTGACGTTCTCCGCAAAGAAGAACCAGAAATTCTTGTCTTCTGTTTTGAAAAGCGTTGCTGCGGGGAACTGGGTGCGTTTGGTCAATCTTTGGCATGAAGCCGTTCGGCTTGCCGATGGTGTGTTTAAACCAAGCAAGAACTCGCAGGGTCGGGCGGGTGAGGAGGAGGAGCAGCCGACTAAAAAGAGAAAGCTGGATTCACCCAAGTATCAGCAGCTACGACTGAGATGGGAGAGATTCGCTGCGCAACTGAACGATTTTGAGGCGCAAGTTTCGCAAGGCGACGCCAAGTTCGCTTTCGCCTTTGTTCAGGGAAAAATCGTTCGTGCCCTTCGCAATGGAGAATGGGTCCTGCTTGATGAGGTCAATCTCGCCTCCCCAGATACTCTCGAGAATATTGCCAGTCTTCTGCATCATGGTAGCGAAGGTTCTCCATCTGTTCTGCTATCCGAAGCCGGCGATGTGGAACGAGTTTTTGGTCATCCGGACTTTCGCATATTCGGTGCCATGAATCCCGCAACTGATGCTGGAAAGAAAGATCTTCCTCCTGGGCTCCGATCTCGTTTCACGGAAGTATATGTACAATCTCCCGATACTGACCTGGACGATCTGCTCGCTTTGATCCAGAAATACCTGGGTGACTTGACAATAGGCGACTCAAGGGTCGTGTCGGACCTAGCGCAGCTTTACATGGAAACTAAGAAGCTCAGCAACGAGAACAAACTCACTGACGGAGCGGGACAACGGCCTCACTTTAGTATCCGAACCCTCGTTCGTGCACTCATATATGTCCTCGAAAACGCCCACATATATGGCTTGCGCCGGGCGACCTTTGAGGGCTACTGTATGAGTTTCTTGACCGTTCTAAGCCAAGAATCCGAGCGGCTACTCTTGCCTCTTCTTGAGCGGTATGTCTTTGGCAATGCGAAGAATGCTAGAGCACTTCTGGGACAAACCCCCAAGCCACCGAATGATGGGAATGCTTATGTGCAGTTTAAACATTATTGGATGCGTCAGGGCAATATGGTCCCAGAGGCACAACCCCATTATATCATTACTCCTTTCATCGAGAAAAATCTCAAGAATCTCGTTCGAGCCAGCTCCACTCGTCGGTTCCCAGTGTTGTTGCAAGGTCCGACCTCAGCGGGCAAAACGAGCATGATAGAGTATCTTGCCAAAGTATCAGGGAACAAGTTTGTTCGAATCAACAATCATGAACACACCGATCTGCAGGAGTATCTTGGTTCCTATGTCTCTGGTGATGATGGAACTTTGCGTTACCAGGAAGGTGTGCTGGTTGAAGCACTGAGGAACGGATATTGGATCGTTCTTGACGAACTTAATCTTGCACCATCGGACGTCTTGGAAGCATTGAACAGACTTCTAGACGACAACCGCGAACTATTCATACCCGAGACACAGGAAGTCGTTCATCCACATCCGAATTTCATGTTGTTCGCGACACAGAACCCGGCCGGCTTGTATGGCGGCCGGAAAGTACTGTCTCGCGCGTTTCGAAACCGTTTCCTCGAGTTGCATTTCGACGATATTCCAGAGAGCGAGTTGGAGTTTATCTTGAAAGAGCGGTCACAGATTGCACCATCGTTCTGCACCAGGATTGTGTCTGTTTATCGAAAGCTTTCCCTTCTGCGCCAAGCGAACCGGCTATTTGAACAGAAAAACAGCTTTGCCACTCTACGTGATTTGTTCCGGTGGGCTCTGCGCCGGGCAGACGACCGTGAACAACTAGCCATCAATGGATTTATGCTGCTTGCAGAACGTGTCCGCAATCCACAAGAAAGGGCGGCTGTCAAGGCAGTCATTGAGGAGGTCATGAAAGTTCCCATCGATGAAGACATAATCTACAGCGCTGCTGAATTGGAAAAGCGCGCTCCTAACCTGAAGGAATTGGCGCCCGGCATTGTTTGGACAAAAGCCATGCGGCGTCTCTTCATCCTGGTCTCAGTAGCGCTTGAGAACAACGAACCCGTTCTTCTCGTGGGAGAAACCGGGTGCGGCAAGACACAACTTTGCCAGGCAGTTGCAGACATCTGTAGGAAGCAATTGTTCATCGTCAATGCCCATGTGAATTTGGAAACTGGGGATCTAATAGGAGCTCAAAGACCAGTTAGGAACAGAGCGGCGATCGAGACTCAGTTGCTCAATGATCTTCGGACTGTTGTCAACATAGGTGATGCTGAGCCGAAATCTCTTGACGAGCTAAGGAGCGCTTTCAGTGCTATGACTGTTGAACAATTGGAAGCATGCGATTCTGAAATAGTTCAACGGGTTCAGAAGAACATTGCTCGCTTGAACGCTCTCTTCGAATGGTCTGATGGTAGCCTTATAACTGCAATGAAGACCGGACACTTTTTCCTTCTCGACGAGATTTCTCTCGCTGATGATTCGGTATTAGAGAGACTTAACAGTGTTCTCGAACCGCACAGGTCGATACTTCTGGCGGAAAAAGGCCCCATTAATTCGATGGTTGTCGCGCACGAGGGATTCCAGTTCCTTTCGACCATGAATCCTGGAGGAGATTACGGAAAGCGCGAGCTTTCAGCTGCTCTCCGAAATCGAATGACTGAAATCTGGG